GATCTGCCAACTAAAACTACAGCAAGAAAAGACGGTGTCCATAACCAAGCTCGGTGGGAATCCCAGGGTTTACAGGGAGGCAAGGGTAGACAGACATTGAGAACAAGAGAGGGAACACACCGAGATGGAAGAGAGTGAGTGAGAGAGAGGCATGGCCACTTCAAAACAAGAGTGACATCAAGAGGAAGAAGAGTGCCCAGCCAGGCAGCCAGGCCCCAGTTGACCTTGGCCATGAGTGTCTCCATAAAGTGGTGGAGCACAAGCCTGACGGAGGTTGAAGAATTAACGGGAGGAGAGAAGGACAGTGGATGGGCTTGAGGTCAGGTTTTTCCGAGCTATAGGTGTGTGCTGGCCTTCTTCACGTGACAGAGCATGTGACTGTACAAACAGCAGAAGACTCTTAGGAACCAGTTTCCTTAAGAAAACACACATGTACCTTTGCCCAGGGTCAGTGTCTCATCAGAGATAAAGGTAAGGCAGGAAGCTGCTCTGAGTACAGGAAAGCCTGAGGGGTTGGAAGAAGAGAAGCCAATCTCCTGGTTTATGGCCCCCATGAAATTATCATGTGAAGGCAAAGAAGAGAGTATTCAACTTAATGTCCCTGTATGGAGAACATGAGAAGCCACTCATTAGAATCCACTGGCGTGTTGCTGAGTACCATTAAGACTGCACTAAGGTACGAGCCTCAATATGTTGTGGCACTCACCCAGAAAAGGGGCTCATGGTTTCCAAGCTCCTCGGGAACTTGGGGGCAAAGACAACTGGCCACTCTCAGCATCCTTTGAGTTTCAACTTGTAGAAATGTTGAATCAGGCAGAAATTAAGTGACTAATCAGCAAATCAAAAGTGTCTCAGTCACCCAACTCTCTCTCGGTCACAGTGGGCTCTCTGATTTAAAGATTCTATTCTTCTGTTTTTGAACCTAGGTCTCAGAGACAAAGAGGGCAGTAACTTTCAAATATCCTCTGAGCTCTTCCATTAATTTTTTAATTGTCTTTTTAAAATCTAAGGAAAGTTGAAGGGGTGGCCTGGATCTTCTAAGACATCTATCTATGATGCCAAGGACCACAGGAAGTCAGGGGAACGTGATCCCAGCAGGGACTGAATGCGGAGTCTCAGGAGTCAAGAGCAGCAAAGAACAGCGGCTGTTAGACATGAGCTCTGCATGGACAAACACTAAAGGTGAACTGAGAATGAAGGAGAAAAACGTAAGCCACCTGCTGTGGAATACTTCTTCTGTACACTGTGTAAACAATTCTGTGATTGGTTTAATAAAGAATATCACTGACCAATAGTTGGTCAGAAAAAGATTAGGTGAGAAAAACCAGACTAAGGACACTAGGAAGAAGAAAGGCAGAGACAGGAGAGTCTCCAGGAGAAGCAGAGGGAGTAACATGTGCTGGAGGACAGATAACGTCACGAGCCATGTGCCAGCACATGGATGGATAGAAATGGGTTAATTTAAGCTATAAGAGCTAATTAGTAATAAGCCTAAGCTATCAACTAAGTATTTATAATCAATATTAAGTATCCATGTTGATTATCTGGGAACTTGTGGATAAAAAAAGAAAAGTCCACCTACAGCCAGCTTCTAAAAATCCTGATGCACCAAGGGAGGAGATAGGGACTGGCTGTGAGAGCCACAAGGTGGAGGCATGTCCTGGTACCACTTGAGCCTTCATGGAAGGCATTTGCAAAAGGATGGTTAAATTCTGTTTGGAACCCATGGCAGGAGAAGTAGGCAAATGCCATGCCTAATCTCAGGCCATTCAATATTTTCTTAGGTTTGTACCAAAAATTTCCCATCCATGAAGAAATCTCTAGGGCAGATAACAACCTTGGGGAGAAATCTAGGCTTTCTTTGTTTCACTTTATTGTATTTAAAGCAAAATATAGAATGTTCTGGGAAGACAGTAGAAAAAAATATACAGGGGATTGATGCAGAAGTTATGACGGAAAGGGAGGTGCAAAATGGGGGGAGCAAGAATAGGAGCCAGAAACTGTTTGGGAACAAGCTGTCTCATCCCAGGCTTACTGTCACTTTCCCAGTGAGTTGGATACAATGGGCAATGATAAAAAATAAATAAATAAAAATAAAAAGATTCATATATACCATAAACACTTTATATAACTGAAAACATAAATGTATACACATGTGCCAGTCTTTTGATGTGAGGCCAGAGCTTGCTCTCTGCATATGCACCCACTGATTCGAGTTACGCCTCTTCTGTCTTACATAAACCACATCCTTCATCTACCATCTCCAGTTCTGCTTTCTTTAAAGGGAGGGAGAACGTGAACACACTTGTTAAATAATCTGAATGCAGGAACTCCACGTTTTTATAAGCACCCAGCCAACTGTACGCACTGTTTTACTGGTATCCTGCCCATACCTCACCAGTAGCACGCCGTTCACAGCTAACAATTTAGCAAGCTTTGCAAAGCCCTCAGCACAGTTTTCTGAGAAACCAGACAACTTTTTTTTTTCACAGCACACCTAACAGAAGGCCTTTGCACAGACCACATTTGTGTGCTGAAGCTGGCAATCTGGGTGACTGGTATGGGGTGGTACTAGTTAATCCTAAGGTCAGTTAAGAAGCCAATCAAGGGTCCTTCAGATGCACAGGCAAAAGACAGGGAGCCCAGAGTGTGGAGTAATAACTTATAGCACCATTAATAAAAACCCAGAGACAGAAATTGGGGTTCAACCTGAAGATCGGAAAGGCAGAACAGCCAGCCACTGGCTCTTACCTCTACCTTGGTCCGAAATGGCCATCCTGCCTCTAGGAATCTCAGAATGAGACTGTGTGGGAGCTGTCTCCTCCCATCTTATATTCCTCTCTAGGGCTGGAATTAAAGGCGTGTACTACTACTGCCCAGTTTCTGTGGCAAATTAGTGTGACTATTGGGATTAAAGGTGTGGGTCACCACTGCCTGGTCTGTAAGGCTGACTAGTGTATTTAAATGGACTTTTGACTTAAGTCAACCATGTACTCTGAACTTCAGGCAAACTTTGTTTATTAAAATACAAATGAAATATCACCACATTAACTGGCTTCCAACACATTGAATGCTGGTGTTCAAAAGAGGGGTTTCTTCCCTGTGTGCTTCCTCTGCCCCCGCTATCTGTAGCACCTTAACCTTTGGGACTCTTGCCATTAGGGAGGAAAGAGAGACCTGGACAGCAAGGCTCACAGAGGAGCTGTAGGAATTCCACAGCTGGTGTCTCGGCTTCTAGTGACTCCTAGACACCATGCTCCTTCTTGTCTCTTCTCATTCAGAATTTATAGTTAGAACTCTCACTCTGCACAGATCTTCGTCTGAGCTTCTCTTCCAGGAGCCTGGGACCAACACCCTTGCCTTTTCTACCATTTGCTGCCAGTAACCACACATAAAGCAAAAACAAAAACATGTGTTCCAGAAATGCCCATGGCCCCTGAGTCACTGTCATAGGTTAGGCCTGCTTTCCCCTAAATACTACCACTAACTCTCTTTTCCAGTATAAAAATATTTCTTTAAATTTTTTGTGGTGGGGCACACCTTTAATCCTAGTACTCAGGAGGCAGAGGTAGGCAGATCTCTGCAAGTTCAAGGTCAGCTTGGTCTACAAAATAAGTTCTAGGCTTGCCAGGGTTACACAGAGAGACCCTATCTCAAAATAGAATTAAAGATAAAATTAAAAAAAGAAAAAGAAGCAATATATGAATAAGTTTAAGCTTCTAAATTTATATATGTGTGTGCACAGACATGCATGCATACGGGTTTCTACAAAAGCCAGAAAACGGCTTCAGGTTACTGGAGCCAGAACTACAGGCAGTCATGAACTATCACATGTGGATACTAGGAACTGAACTCCAGTCCTCTGCAAGAGCAGTGAGTGCTCCTAACTGCTAAGCCATCTTCCCAGCTTTCCCCGAAAAGTATTCTTTTAGTGGTCTTAGCAATTTAGCATGTTCTCTCCATATTCTTCAGTGAGATGCCTTCCAAGTGGGCAGTCTCTCCCCCAACAACTCTCCCATAGAGATTTAATATTTATTCGAAGCACAGAATATAGGGTGATGTAGACATGACCACTTACAGATGAGCCACCATTTGCTGAGGGCTTACTGTGGGATCAGGCATTGTGTTCGGTGTCCATAGACTTGGCATCACTCTGTTCAGTCCTCACTGTGTGCTCTCAGGCACCATACTTACTCCTTCTGACTTATTAATTTATGTGTGACATGGGAAGGCAGCTATGCTCACCACGATACTACCAATGAGCTCTGATGTGTGACATGGGCTCATTCCAACGGTGACACCATGACAGAGAGGACCAAACAGAATGATGCCTGAAGTCTCATTTGTAAATATGCAAAACAAGTACAAAGATGCAGACACGCAGAGGCATGACGCATTTGAGACATCTCCGCACTTGGGTTGAAAGGTGCATACAGAGAGAAGTCAGATGTTTGGATCTGTGTCACCAGGCCTCAGAGGCCACTTAAACACGACATTAATTACATTGTTTTCAGAATGCCAGCCTAAAATGGAATTATTACTAAATTTCAAGGTTTTTTATTGATATACACAATGTCAATGATGCCCTTATCTAGCAATTATATTCAACCACAGACCATAGGAATTTGTTTATGGCATTCATCTAATTGTCCCAAAATGATGTTTATCTGTTTCAGACAGCAAGGAAAAGGACTCGATGGGTAAAACACACTGTTCCTGAGCTAAGCAAAGGTGTTGCGGAACATGACGGGAGACTGTGCTCTGCTCACTGCAAACACACTCTTCCTGAGCTAAGCAAAGGTGTTGTGGGGCATGATGGGAGACTGTGCTCTGCTCACTGCAAAAGCATCTTCCACTATAAACTGGCGGAGTCTTTTTCCTTGTGCAGACACAAGTGTCTTTCTTGAAGTGGAGTTAGGGAGACAGAGCCCTCTGAAGGCATAAGATAGGTGAATGAATCAACAAGACACTTGCTGGAAAGTTAAATAGTCCAAACTTACTTTCTTCGTACACTTCTTCACAGTGTTGATCAATTCCTGCATCACCAGGTCCACACTCTTCAAGGACGGACCTTTCAGCTTTACTATCTGCTTTTTGACTATGGCCTCGAAAGCCATGTCTGGAGTAAACAGCCCTGTCCTGAACGTGAGAAAGAGAGCAGCAGATTAGATTTCAGCAGCTGAGCTGTAGCCAACAGCCCAAAAAACACATTTAAATTGACATTCGGCTTAAATGAGGCATGGACTAGACCAAGTATAAAAGGTACGTAGGTAGCTGAGGCTATAGACCAGGCATTAAAGTGCTTGCCTTGAAGCATGAAGACCTGAGTTTGGTCCCCAGCACTCACACACAAGAAGACAGGACTGTGGTCCAAGCCTGTGACCCCAGAGGAGGGAAGACAAAAACAGAAGGACCTCTGGGTCACTGTTCAGCCTCGGAAAGGTGAAGGCTGAGAAGAGATCCTGTTTCAAACACAAGGTGGATGGTTCCTGGAGAATGACAGTTGAAGCTGACCTTTGGTCTTTGTGTGCAAGTGCACACACTTACATGTGCACCTGTATGCCCCCATGCACACATACACACATGCACACACACACACACACCACAGAGGCACAATAGAGCAACACAGAGAAAGAGCAAGAAACATGCCTATGTCCATAACACAAAACATATATAATAACTAGTTCTATATATCACACCTTTATAAAAACTTTTTTTGGTTTTTTGTTTTTTGAGACAAGGTTTTTCCATATAGCCTTGGTTGGCTTTGAACTCACTCTATAGACCAAGCTGACCTCCAACTCAGAGATCTTCCTGTCTCTGCCTCCCAAAGGCTGAAATTAAAGGCATGCACCCAAAGAACAGTCCCTGGGTGGGTGCTATAACCCTATCTTTAATAATCCTAAAACACAAGTTCGCATCTAACAGCAATGCCCGAGCACTGAGAAGAAGAGCAGCATTTCCCAGCATGAGCCAAGCTCTGGGCTCGATGCCCTGCACCACACACAAAACAGCCAAGCATGTTTCCATAACCTACAAAGTAATGTTAACTGTCATTTGTCTCAACTCATTGTTTCAAAACAACAGAAAGGAATGTAATCAGGCCTCTGTAACAGCATGTTCCCTGTCTGAATTTTTTCAGGGAAAAAAATAGTATGTGTCTGTACAGAACACTACAAACATTATTCTTGATATTACTTATCTAAAAATGCCACATAACAATGATTTTCACAACTTTCGTATAGAACTAGATACTGTGAGTAATCCAGAGATGGCTTGATGTATAGGGAGGCTGCTGTGTGTGAGTTATATTCAAGAAGCGTGCTGTTTCACATGAGAATGTGCATTGGTGTGTTGGGCTGTCTCTGTCAGTAGATGACAAGGGTGATGGACTAAGTTCCATTACCATCCCTAAAGGATTTCAAAAGCAGCTCTCTCCTTCCATGTGAGCCTCCTTTTTATACAGGAAAGCAGTCTACTTTCTCCAGGAGGCTGTACTACAGAGACCTGGCTGGGTCTCAGCCCAAAGTCCTTGGGTGCTAAGGGAAGAGTGTGACTGTTGAAGAGCCATCAATGTCACTTCGACGATGCACAATGCCTCAATGAAGAATTTATAAAAAAAAACTAATAGCCAAAATAGCAGGAATCTTCCTTTTGTCTGGAATGCATTCAAAGTTGATGTCATAATAATGCTTTTCTCCTGTGAAGCAGGAACTTGGGGAAGTGAATATAAGGATGGGGGTTATGAGTGTTTCATAAACAATGGAAATTGGGGCTGGGGGATGATTCAGTTGGTTAAAGACTTGCCATACCAGCATCAGGACCTTAATTCAATCCCAGTGTCTAAAATGCTAGGTGTGGTGTTGTGTGCCTCTAATCCCAGTATGGGGAAGAGGTAGAGACAGGAGGGTCCCACTCAGAATTTGTTCCCAACATAATCTCATCCTTGCCCTGTGCCAGATGCTGAGCCACGACTGGACACCAACAGGAGGACCCGCTCCATCACTGAAGGTGAGCCATGAACAAGGAGCCAACAACCTTAATGGGATTAGCTTACACTCAGGCCATTTCTATTTAGCATGTGCCTGCAAATCCTATTTAGCTTATTATCCATGGAATCAAGAATTTTTAAGAACAATTTATAGCCTAGTTCTAGACTACATTGCTATGGAATGAATGCATATGTTTTCTCCAATATCCATGTGTTGAAACCCTTTATACTCGATGTCACCACATGTGGATGGCCGCATTGGGAAGAAACTAGATCATCAGGGTGGGGCTCTCATGAATGAGATTAGTGCCTAATGAAAGAGATCAGAGAGCTTTGTTCTCCTTCAACTACACAAAAGTATATAGATTGGAAAGTATATGTATTGAGTATATGAACTGGAAAAGGTCCTCACCAGACCTCGCCATGCTGAGAAACCTGATCATGTGCTGTCAGCCTCCAGAACTGAGAGACAAATTCAGTTGTTGATAAGCTAGCTACCCAGTCTGTGACGATTTGTCATATAAGCCTAAGAATACTAAAATATAAAAGAACACGATAATCTTCCTCTGAAAAGGGGGGAATTCAGTTTCTAGCTCACTCCAACCCATATTCTGTTCATGTCTCTCTGAACCACAATACCCACAACAGACAAGATGCAAAGCCCCAGCTCCATGAAAACTGGGTGCACACTTTCCATCTCTATGGCTTGACTCGCACTGCTCCTCCATCCTCAGCAACCTGCACTCTAACCTTTACCCTTTCAGGTAAAGGTTACCCTGCACAAATTCCTCATACGCATGTATCCATGCTGCTGCATGAGTACGCAAACGCATGCGCACACACACAACATACACACACACTCAGAAATGAGAAGACTCAGTTGTTATTGTGAAGAGTACACACCATTGATGTAGAAACTTGTTTTTTAATTATTATTAAAAAACTTTCTCTAGCAATAGAGAAATATGGCTGAGTCAAAGCCAGGATTTCCTCTTTCTGACTTCTGCTTCTCTAGTCCTCCTCTGTTCTGATGATGAAAAATGACTTCACCAGCCATTTGGAAATGCTCGTTTTCCTTGGTAGATCGAAGACAAGGAAATGGGAATCACTTGCCTGATACCATGTATGTTTTTGATTGCGTAGCTTATTTCTCTTCTCAATTCTTTCTCATTGAACTCCATCTGCAGATGCAAAATGAACCACAGTTATGAGACTTAATTCCTTTGGATAATATTATTGGATAGTATAGAATGAGGATAACTTGCCTTCATTATTAATAAATGGATATGCATGTCTTTTGCAAGCTCAACCCAGATGGTCAAAACATCTGTTTATATGGAGTTCAAGGCCACATGGAACACTGGGGATTTCTGGGTTAGGGGGAGCAGAGATTTGGGCTCTATTATATATGAGGGGTGCTGTGCAGAAAGAATGCCTCTTGGACATAAACCCAGCCACTCATTTGAAACATGGAATTCCTTTTGGCTGAGTGTAGTAACGTGGCGTCCATGGGAGGATGCAAATATGAGAGCATCTCCTGATGGGTGGCAGCAACACAGCTGTCCTTTCTCCCCAGCCATTTGAACCACCTGACTGTAAGGCTCTTTATAAAGGGAAATTAATAATACCTCATCAAGCCAACACAGGATGCATTGCCGTATAAATATTTCCCAGAAGTCCCAGGCACTATAAATCTACTTGGAAGGAGGATCAAAGTGTCAGGGAGTTTAGTCCCAGAGCGCACATCCAGAGAACACCAGATTCAGCTTTGCCAGGGCTGTAGCCATTCCAGCCTCGCTCTGCCTGTTTCCCCCTTACACTCTCTGTCCCGGAGCAATGCCTTGACATAAGTCTCTATCATATGCTGTGGCTCCACAGCTCAGAGTCTTTACCATTCCTTCCTTTGTATCATGAACACTTCCACCCCTGCCCCTCCGGCTGCTGCTTAGCTAGCTACTCATTCTTCCAAAGGCAGCTCGGAAGTCTGGCTCTTTTGCACACTTGGGCTGGGATTCACATCCGTGGGTGGTGTTTCCATAGCACTCCGTGCTGAAGTTTGCCACTTTACTTAGCACATTTTAATAAAACTATCTGTTTACCCACCGTCTTCCCACACCAGTACACAAACATCCACCCCCTCGTATGCCGACAAGTGGTCCCTATGCCACTGAGCTGCCTTGCTGAGCAATCAATCCCAGCAAATCCACACAACTCTTGTTTCTTACCCACACACTGACAATTTCCCTCAGTTCCCTCGTCCGACGGGCACCATAACTTATCCAATGGCAAAAGCCAAAATTTGGGGAGTAATTTTGAATCTTCTGGTTTTTGTCTCTTGATTCAATCCAAGCCTATCAACCTAACCTCTAAAATCCCACAGTCATCTATTTCTCTCCATTCTCTCTTGTTACATCATTTTCCCCAAGAAACAAAAAAAAAAAAACTTTACATTACAGACCTCCCTTGCACAAGAGTCCTTCCAAGATCATGCGCCTAACCATGTGTTTGTAATTTTGCTTTCTTCCTCTTTAAGCGACCCCTGATATTATAGAAGTTTCAGGAAGAAAAAATTAAAAGGTCCATCTACTTGTAGCTAGGCCCTACTCTTCCTTACCATTTCTATTGCTTACCCATTGGTGACCTGGGAGGCAGAGTATTCTGTGGGGATCATCAACCCAATTCAGTTACACACCCCTGTTGCTTTTCATTGTTAAATGTGAACCCCTCACTGCAACCAGGAAAGTCCTGGATGAAGTGGAATTTTCTTTTCCTCTCTAAATTCTTTCATCTTCTTCTCAGCTGGCTTTCTATCTGCTGTGTCTGCTCCTTGCTATCATACGTGTTCCCGCTCTGTGACTTCACCTGAGGACACAGCCTCTTCCCTGAGTCAGCCTCTCCGAGTGATTCTCTTAACACTGACCTCCTAATGCTGTGCTGGTCATAGCTCACATGCTCTTCACTCAGAGAAAACTGTCGAAACATCCCATGAAAAGGGACTTTCGTACCATGTTACCACAGTAACACTTGAAGTTTTCTTATGTGGTCTACTTTTTCATTTTCTGTAGTTCCATACTAGACAATGTTGCCCCTTCTCTATTTTGATCTCTGGAACTTTGGTACGTAGGAGAATCTCAGAAATATTTTAAATCAGAAAACTGATAAATGTCATGGAAAACTCAGGCATCTTGAAGTAAACTATATGAACTGAAACCAGAAAAGACTCTTTTGAGCACCATGGGTTTTATTCCAAAAACAATAGTGGTCCTAGCACATCATATTACACCAGGAGAGCTGTGAAAGGGGATCTGGGAACGATGTGGGGCAACAGGAGAGAGAACGTTGGCTACAAACCTTCACTATCTCAAAGGGAAAGCGTTCGTGGAAGATGCGATTGATCTTAGCACCACCAGAGAGCTCTAATGTATCCACTTGATCCCCCGACCCTTCGATTCTCTTCTCAAAGTCCACAGCGAACTGCTGGACCATCCTAGAGTTGAGGAAGAGAAATAAACTTGAGTTAAAGTTCGTTAAAGTTCTGCGGCTCTCCTGTTCCTGGCTGATTTTACTGAGGGCGGGCGTAGCATATACTCCTTTTCTGTGTTCTTAGTGGCACCTACTGGTCAAGTTAAGAAGGCATTGCAAGAATACAAAGTTGCTGAGATTTATTTTAGACATTTTAACTAGAGTAAATATTTTAAATATCTTTCTCTTTAAGTGTGCTCTGTTCATTGTGGTTATAACATGAAATGGTATTTAAGGAACGCTTGAATTAAAAATTAATGTAATCTTGGATAGAATAGTCAAGTGAACCTCTACTCCTATGACGTCACACTTCCCACTCACAGCTCCTGCTACTCAAACCCCTGCCAGGGCACTGGATCCTTTTCTCCCTCCAAGTATAGACGCCTTAGTCTCTTTTCATTCTATAAATTTGTGCTGGGTGCTCTAAGGTTGATCAGAGCATCAAAGGCCATTATATATAATTTTTCCAGACCTTCAGATGTAGCGACATTTCATAAATAAAGCTTGTCTGAAGATCAGAGAGTAAAACAGCCTCACTGGTCAGTCTTACAGACCAAGCAGTGGTAACACACACCTAATTTAATCCCAGTAGCCACACTAGTTGCTATAGAAACCGGGTGGTACAAGCCTTTAATTTCAGTGGTGCACACCTTTAATCTCAGAACGAGAGAGGATTATAAAATGGGAGGAGACAGTTCTCAAGGTCAGTCTCATTCTGAGATTCTTGGAGACAGGATCACCATTTCAGACTGAAGTAGTGGTAAGAGCCAGTAGCTGGCTGTTTTTCTTTTCTGACCTTCAGGTTGAACTCCAATTTCTCTCTCTGAGTTCTTACTAACGGTGAATCATTCAGCTACCATGACTCATAGGAATACCTTGTCCGCCTGTGCAACTGTGTGCTGGTCATGTATTTTTTCTTAGCTGTCTTGGATCAACACACCTAAAACCTGAACCTTTTAACTTCTTTTAGTCCTAAGCCTTCTGATTCCCATGCCTTGGCTCAGGCCTCAGTAACCCCCTTTTGGATACTAAAGCACCTCCAGATTTCCATCCTGATCGTAGGATTCTGTCCAGGTCAGACGTCACAGTGCCACAGTCACACACACACACACACACACACACACACACACACCTGTTAGCACAGGCTCCTCTACAACAACAAGCTCTGGCTTGCTTTCCAGCAGGTTCCCACAGTTGGAATGAACCTGTTATCTAGGATTATACATGCTGTGGCCATGGTTATTTTTGAGGCCTCTCTCCTGCCCACCCACATACACCTTCCCATTCACACACAAAGTCTCCTGGACAGTCTCCAAATGTACCATGCCCCTGTGTTTTTGTGCTCGTCTGGGGGTTTATTTGTAGCACTATTGACTCCATTCCTTCCTAACTTCCTTCTGGTCTCAAGACGCAGCTCCAGTAGTAACTCTTCTGAGAAAGCCCTCATGATGAGTGGTCCTCAGCTACCATCATCGCCTACCACTGCCCAGAAGATGGGGTCTCCTGCCTCTTCAGCCTGCTTCTAGAAAACACATCCACAGACCACATCACCACTGCTTCTTTCCCTGTCAGTCACTCCACTGAGGGCGAGGGCTTGCACTAGGCTTATCTCTGCACACGCAATAAGCCTATAAGAGATGCTTAATAAATATTTGTGCTATGAAGTAGTTAATTGTCTTAGGCTAACTGGTTGAAATAAAAGAGAAAGGAAAAACGTATTTTCATCTGTGGTAACTAGGTTTGTAAATTCTAAATTTGACACATTAGAACTACTACTTCCAAATTCAAAATCTAATAGAAAAATATTTTCTAAGCACCTGAAACTTGTGTCTTTTTATTGTCTTGGCTATAACAGGTTAAAGTAATTATAAATTATTTAGCCATACCCAAGTGTCAGCTAATGTTTTTAATGGTGTTGTTAAACATCTGGAAGGTTGTGGCATATGTGCTGAAATGCTAGAAATTTGTGCAAACTTCCAGCTCTGTTGATCCTTCCCATACCCTCCTCTTTGGCGGTATTGAAATAAGCTGTCCCCAACTTCACTCTATTCTCTTACCCTTCCTCCTCCTAAACCTAACACACCCTGCTCACACTTCCAGGCCTTGAGCATTCACTCCCCTGGGAATTAGTACTTCTCACATGTACCTGACTCCTCCTCTGGGCTCCAACATTCCCTTCTTCTGATACACAGAGTTGGTTAGAGTCTAACACAAATCATCATTCACACGCACGTCTTCATGACCCTCTCCTAGAGAGCAAAGGTTCCCATGCACTGCTGACTCCACGGTGGGTGATGCAGAGCCCGGGTCTGAGGAGAGTGCATGGAAGGGTGGCAGGAAGAGGGGACGAAGGAACATGCTGGGGAAGGTGGGAGCACGAGAAGATGGATCGACAGTCTAGTCAACAACAACCTAATGGTGAAATATTCTGCAGTCAAGACCCATGACGTCACAGAGGCAAGGACCAGTTTTCACATCTGAGTTTCAGACAGATGTTGAGATAATGCATGACCTCGATATAAATATATTTCTTTTCTATGTAACTTGAAGAATTTTATGAGTTTAACCAAAGTCAAGAAGAAGCAAACAGACTTGGGAAGAGGTCTACTCATACTTTTTTCTTCTTCTTCTTCTTCTTTGGCATGGTATTATTTTTAAGTGAAATATTACCTGATGCAAATAAGATGCCACTGAAACAATGTGAATATTTAACAATCTCTTCACTAAAAAGATAGAATTAAATCTCCTTTTGTGACCATCACTGCAGCAACAAGCACAAAAGTGGGTCCAATACCTTTGTGATGCCTTGTCTGATTCACAAGTAATATCTTCTAACCAAAGCAAAAAACACAGAATGCACTCCAAAGCATCCTCTCGCATTTGAAGAAAGATTGTGTTCCCTCCTCTTTCCAAAGATCTGAGACAATAGTACAATGCGAGATCTATGCCCATCTGAATGGATGATGACGTCCAAGTTGTAGGGGAACACTGTAGAAGCCATCAGATCAGCAAAGTAGCCCAAGTCTACAGGAAGAAATATGTCCCTTACACTGAATGTGTACAACAAGAAAACACTAATAATACCTGTGTCCATGTGAGCACTCACCCCAAGCTAAAACTGGACAACCATGGCAAAAAAAAAATTGCTAGAGTAGAGAGTCAATTTTCACTCACCAAGCAGGGATGAAATAAGGCAAATATAGGGAATAAACTATTGGAGTGTAGAGGGTAAGAAGTACTTATGCGCACAGGCACTGGAGAAGCCAGGAAAGTTAAACACACAGGCGTGTCACTTCAAAGGAAGGAGACGTTTGCCTGCCTTCCTCCCGGAATGCTGAGAAAGAATGTAGTTTATGACCTGGTGCTCTTGTGCTATCTGTAGGGCCGGGCCTTACCAGCATCCCCCACAATATTATGTTTGTTCATCTCAGACTTTTCCCCTCTAAATCTTGCGCATTGCTTTTCGGTCCATAAAACCATCCTTGTGAGAGATGTCGCCTGTGCTTTACATCAGTCTAAGTGACTTCTGTGTTATCTTAGGCCCAGGCCGATCCTGACTCCCACAGGCATTATTTTTACCTCCGTCATTCTCCCTAGACCCTTATCCTGAGCATTGTTCCTGAGTCATCAGAACCCATCTTTATGGAGCATACCATATGTACTTTGTAAAGGGTTTCAATGTAAACATGTCTTAAGCTTTGTTGTACACTTGGGACTGAGCTAATTGTCATCAGGAAACTCTTTCCAAAATTGTGCCGTGCTTAAATATGGCTAAAGTGAACCACCTGGTGTCAGACTCCAGAAGTCTGGCCCAGTACCAGCTAACTAAGTAGTGTTGAGTTGAGTTTTGTTCTTGTCTCTCCTCACTGCTGGCTGTCAAGCATTCAGGGACCACCCCAACACACAGTGAAGAGGCAGGAAGAAAGGGATCTTACATACTGAAGACCGGGTAAATAAAAAAGAAACTAATTTTTCTATGATGTGCAAAGGGGCAAAGGTGCTACAACACAGGCCATGGAAGTGGTCTAGTTGGGAAATGTTTGCTACACAAGCAAGCAGACGGGAGTTCAGACTCGAGCACCCACATAAAAAGCCAGGCACAGTAACGTGTGCTTGCAGTGTGCTAGTGGAGCTGGGCGAGATAGGAGGGTCTCTTGGGCTTGCCAGCCAGCTAGTCTAACCAAACTGGTGAGCTCTGAACTCTGTGAGAGGTCCTGTCTCAAAGGAAAAAAAAAATGAGGTGGAGAGCAATCAAAGAAGACATCCAATGTTGACCTCTGACCTACACTCACACACACGCCCCCATATACATATATAATACACACAAATATAGATAAATAAATAGTACTATAGGAGGCATCAACTGTCACCGTTGATAGGCAACTCAGGTGCACAGGGATACTAGATAGCAGTCTTCCAATTGAGACAGACCTAGTGCCACTTGAAGCACAAGGGTGAAGAGACCGTGAGGTCACAGGGGTCAAAGGAGAGAGATGAAAGGAGCAAGCATTCTCTAGCAACTCTGTATCCTGCCCTACCAACCCAGGGAGACGATGGGGGTGGTCAGGAAGGAGTAAAAGCTCTATGTGAGTTTGTATGCTTGAAGTTTAAACAGCCATATTAAAATCATTACCAGAAAGGAGAAGGCAATTGAAATGTGGCCTTATTCTCTATGGTTTTTTAATTAAATAGTTCGTTCTCTTTCTATGGAAATATACATACAGGCAATCACATGAGAATTTGAAATAAAGATAATAAAGTAGATCTACAGATTGAGTTATAAAATATAAATATGCTCATCTCTACTTACTTCTGAGGCTAAGGGAGGAGGAAACCCACCCCTTACCCCTGAATTATCATTGCTAGTTTTACCCCCTGACTGGATTCACGAGATGGACAATGGGTTAAGCTTATAATAACAGTAAAATCAATTAATGTTCCTTGAGTAAACGTGACTCAAGGGTTCCTGTATAACACACAGAGCCTCGTCTATGCTGCTCACTGCTTCCAGAAAACAACACAACAAACAGACGAAGGCAAAGCAAACAAGTTTCAAATGAACAAAGAAAGAGAGAGGTGACCCACTGCAGCAGAGCTTTGGTCTTCCTCGTGGGGTCTTCCGGTTTGAAGTTTTTGTAGGCTTCTACTTCGTGTTCTATGGAGAGCAACTGTCCCTGCAGTTTGTTCCTGAAGTTGGGCAGGGTGTCTCGAATATGGTTGGTAAGTTGCTAAACAAAACACAGCAAAACCAGACATGTGTGTGAGAGTGAAGATCAGCTCGTGAGATAGACTTCCGCCTCCACCGTTGCTCTTATCAGCATCCCCTTAGAACACACATGCACATTTGAAATGGACAGCATCAGCGGACAGGAAGAAGCAGTGTCCACTCCTCTGTACTGTCTTTAGAGATGCTCAAAAGCCCTTCAGTTAATTACTCACTTGGGTTACCTTTTCATCCTACCACATCCTGCTAAAATATACCTGAAGTTACGGGTGGGGCTGCCCTGCACCGCATTAGCACTGGGTAATTTAGGATGCTGTTCATAGAAAGGCACATTTAAGACCTTTAATCCCAGCACTTAGAAGGCAGAGGCAGATATTTCTCCAAGTTTGAGGCCAGCCTGGTCTGCAGAGCAAGTTCCAGGACAGCTGGGACTACACAGAAAAACCCTGTATCAAAAGACCAAAAAAAGAAAAAGAAAGAAAAGAAAAGGTACTAGAAACGTTGCAATCTAAGAGTCTCCGGCACTACCTGCTCTTTTCATTACCAAATGGATGAGCATCCTGGTGGCTCACAGGTGGTCAAAGGTGCTACAGGTGGCTGCCAGCTGTCAGCTTTCTCTGCACTTTGGGTCTCAAGCAGGCCCCTTCACTGCCTTGCATCTCTTGGTGCCATCTAGCTCTGACTGAACACCACTCTATACCTTCAAAGAGTTGGCTTTAAAAGTTCCATGATTAAGCAGGAGACAGCTCTCTGCCACTGGCATCTCTACCCAGTCATTTGATTGGCAATGCCTCTGTCATCAGTTTGCACCTGAAACTCAGCAGGACAAATGCTTTCAAGAGAAACTAATGGTGTGTGTTTAATTAAAGACAACGTGAGCAAGAAACACAAGTGTCCAGTTTTCTGTCATGTGTTCTTTCTACAATAAGGTTTTGAAAATCTAAATTAAAAGAAACAAAGATTCTTGACCCAGTGAAGTAACATACTGGAAATAAAAAAACAAAGAGGTAATAGAAACTTCAGAGCAACACAGGAAAAATGAAAACAAGGGAGAAAGAAAAATAAAGGAATACTAGCAAGAATAAATATATCAAGACTGAGTGAGTTGTTTTAACTTGTCCTTTTGTTTATTTTCACTTATTTGAATGGATGTAGGAATTCAGTTAACCCATGGGGTTATTTAATTGTCAATGATTCATGGCTCCATCACTCACTACTAAGAAATGTGAATTGTCTTGGTTCTTGGACAGGTACTTCTGTTGTGGCTATGGAAGAGGAAACAATCGAATGAAGAGAACTGTGTTCTCAATAGCAATGGCACAGAAGACAAGGTCCTAAACACAAGAAGAACGGCAATAGCCTGATGCCGTGTGGGCTGTCAGAAAATAACAACACTTGCTTCTGTTTGTGCTTCACAGACATCTCAATAGCAGAGCAACATTGTATTTCCTCTTGGCCTTCTAAAACATGGTTCTCCTCTACTTCCTTAACCCTGGCTCTTCTAACTTATCCTAATCATTTTCAGGTGCCTTTCCCAACTCCTGTAACAATTCTTCTAATCAGACAGACAACATTGACATTTTCAACTATGAATCCTCTCCTACTTCTCAGCTCAGTGAATGTTCTATCTTAAGGCATCTCGTTCTACCTGTGGATTTGGCAAATATCCAACCAACTGTTCTTGCTAACACATTATCTCCAAACAGAACTTCTTATCCATGCTGTAGGCATACATGTCTGGATCTATAAATGACACCCAGTCTCAACACACCCAAATGAACTACCCAGCAGTGACTGTTTGGCTCTGTCTGTGGTGGCCTCAAATGCCCACATGTTAAAAGCTTGGTCACCACCAACTTGTGCAAATATTGGAAGGTTTTTAGAACGTTGAGGACGCGGGGCTAGTGGGAAGAAGTTAGTTGCTGGAAGCTTGCCCTTGAAGGACACTGAGACTTTGGTCTCTTCTTTCCTTCCTGGACATCAGGAGGTGAGCAGCCTTCTTTGCCATGAGCTCCCAGCGTGATGAGCTGTGTGGCCACAGGTTCATCACAATAGAATGAAGTGGCCATGGACTAACATCTCTGAAACCACGAGCAAAAATAGATCTCTTTTCCTTGTAAATTATTATTTTATCATATCCGTGAAAGCCAATAAACATACTCATCTTCTCCTACAGGTCTCCAACATCCTGACAGCCTGGGAACTTGGAAGTTCACCTAGTTACTCATCAATGGTTCTACATCACCCATCATGAGCTCCTTGGGTCACTGAGTTCTCAATTCTCCTCATCATTTCTCAAATCCGCTAGCCCTATAAAGACCAAGATACCATAGTTTTTCACTTTATTCTTAACTTATCTCTGCAATTTTAGTCCTAACTGGTCTACAATTAATCTGCCTACCTATGGCTTACATTTCCTTTAAACTCTCCAATATGGCCGGTTTCTTGCCTTCATCAGGGGTCTCTTGAAGACTCTCTCACCTCAAGATAACAGCAAAATTCTTTATTTCCACTTGTGAACATGAGAGGCCCTGGCCATGGTCTGCCTTTCCAACTTTATCTCTCACTGCTCACACTCCCTTCTCCATGTTTTCCAGCCACAAGGATATTTCTCTCCGTACCTCAAAAATGCCACGCCATTTTCTATCTCACCCATACCAGATATCCCTAGGAGCCACAGCATACATCAAACCACTGATGAAGTTATCCTGATCTCTCACAGAGAGAACACATGGGACACAACAGAGAGCAATTATATAGGAAGGGAAAGATCTTCAGAACAAAATCTAATCAGATTCCATTCAACGTGAATCCAATCATGTCCTAACTTGGTGATCATCTGTACCTAAATGGCTAATCATGTTCTTCTGGTTTTCTCTTATTCAAAACCTACTTTATTTCTAACTTATATGTCCAATTACATTATTGAATTTCGCCTAGGATACTTTTTAATCTTTTTATAATTTCCTTAAGAGAATATAGTATTGAAAACAGTAACCTAGAAAGTGTTATTAACACTGGCTACATTGGTAGAATATTGTGGTTCTTGCATGACTGACTTGTGCTGCTATTTGAAATTTATTGATGTCTTAAGTGATGCAGCCAAATGCTGCCTCATGGCTTCTAAATGCTCATTTGCCCTTAATTAAAAGGCAGAAATTTACGGTGGTCGGATAACATCACTTAAATGTATATTGCTAATCTTTATTTTCTAAAATAAAGTTGTTTTGCCCATGTGCTTCATGTATAGTATCAGCTCTTTTTACCATGACAACCTCCACTGATTCCTTCAAAGGACCAACATAAGGACACTTGTGACTACCTGACTCATTGGCACATTAAGTATATAGAGAAGAGTTTATATAGAAACTATTAGGGCATTTGTGACAGAAGCTACTTGCCATATAAAGTCAAACTAGTGGAAACTCAAGAAGGAAGCCTGTATCCAATGACCACCCATGCCTGCCACACTTTTCAACTCCAATATGGAAAGAAGATATGTAAGAAAGTCTACTGAGAACTTATGGGAACGGTGTATGTGATTCATGGGAGAGGGCAGACTGAATGCCAGTTCCAGTGCTATTTATTGTGAGTGAGTGTGTTATCTAGAAAAGGTGTTTTAGATTAGTGGAAATCAATAATTACTTCATCAAGATTTATTGTTTCAATATTTTAAATTAAGAAGCTAATAAAGATGTAACAAAAACCATAAAAAAAGTTAATGGAAAATCTAACCTAACCATCACAGCTTGGCATTTGAAACAAATCTACCTTGTCCGAGCTGCAGAAGTTTAGCTTAAGATACAATGTATTGTGAGTGAGTGCATGCTCACACATGTCTCCTGTTTGCTGTTCCTAAATCACTAAGTTTTTTTTTCTTTGAATACTGTCAACAATATGGAGGTGAATTCAATCCAATGAAAAAGGCAATTGTGTGGGTCTAAATAGTGACTTTTAAAATTATCAAAAGTAGAGTGTCTTGTCTGGGAAAAATAAATTTTATAATAAGAAATGTTAATTCTAGTAATCTACACATTTTATAATTGTACTTACTGCTTGAAAGAATAATTTTACCTGATTGAGGACCTTCTGGAGGTGAGGCGTCCCCATACGATCAGCAATATGTCTATAAGCCGGGTGAGAAAGAAAAAATTTCCTTTCTGCCAACATGGCCGCCTTAATGTCCTTCTTTCCGTCTATGTCCTTCTGGCTTCTGTTGACCACTCCCACGTAGCCTGAAACGAAACACAAACCTATGGGACTCGGCACAATTTCTGTCATTTATTCTAGAGAAACTTGAAGGCTCTCTAACAGGTAAAATTCATTTTAAGGCCCGAAGACTGAGCCCCCTTACAGCATGCCATCCAAGACCTTGCTAGTCAGTAAACGCCACTGATTTGGCTATTGATAAATTGTTGAAATCAACAGAATAATACCCCTCAGCTTTTAAAGATTTATAAACCTTAAGAAACTATATCTCAACAACTGTATCGTATAACAGGCAAGTAAATATCTGACTTAAAACAGATCGCTGTATATTTATGTAGCCTGTGATGAATATTTATAACCTTGCTTCAAGCTCCTTCCTTTCCCTGTTTTCCTATTCCTGTTATTTTAAGAAATAGTTCTCCTTTTGAAATATTCTTTAACACAACACTTGGGAACATTGTGCCATTCCATATAAAGTATAGTTAATAATAAATCACTCCCTTCTAATGGAGGAAGCAGTAAAGCCAAGCCTCCCTGTGGCTTGCCAGCCATTTCTCTGCCATATTATAAAAAGCAGGCCTTAGAAACCACAGTCCATTACCCCTGCGAAGAGGCAGCAGTTTGTTCTCCAGGACGTCCCTGGCATCCGTTCCTTCATCCATGAGATCCAGCTTTGTGATCACGCCAATGGTCCTCAGACCTGTATCATAAACAAACACAGCTGTCAACTACACAGCTTGCAAAACAACAACAACCAAAACTAACTAAGTCAAAGGGCATAAATATCTCAATACTAAATGGAGGGCTCATATTCCAGGCCCTTCTCCTGTTTCCCTCTTGCTTCCTTTGATTCTAGCTTACTGTCACACCAGTCTGGTGATTATCGATGGAATGTGAAGATGGATTATTCACCTACTTATCCATGGGATAATTTTCCATCCAAGAGAGGAAATCAGGTACATCACAACAATACTTCTAAATACAGCCACGTGTCACTTAACCACAGGGACATTCTCTGAGAAATATGCTATGTGTAGAATTCATCACTGTGCAATCAAACATCCCAGAGTATGTTTATATAAAGTAAGTAGCACAGGGCGGTGTCTCAATAGGGCCTCCTGATGTAAACAAGAGATGCAGTCAACATGAGATGTCTGAGCCTGCAGCCAGCCTAAGACAGAATAGGGTTCTATGGTTGACATGTATGTATACACATGTGTAGGGGTGTGAATGTTCATGTGTGTTTGCATGTGGACATCCAAAACAACCTCAGATGCTGATCCTCAGACACCACTGACTCTCCCCTTTTTTCTTGACCCATAAGCTCTGTTGTTGGTCTAGAACTAACTAAGAAGGCTAAGCTAGTCGGTCAAAGCAGGTCCCAGGAATCCATCCATCTCTGCTTTCCAGGCACTGGGATTGCAAGCATGCAACACTATGCCCAACATTTTGCATGGGAGTTCTGGAGCTCAAACTCAGGAACTATGAGGCAAGGCAAGCACTCTACCATCTGGGCTGTAACCCAGCCCCTTGACACTTCTCATGAGGAGAAAGAGAAATCAAATAGCTCTTAATAAATAAATCAGTAAGACAGTCATATAGATCATGACAAAGCTTCATGCACATACATAATTGAATATGTGACACCCTCGTGCACTGTGAGAGGAATGGACACGTTCACAGCAGCATCACCACAAACACAAGGAAGGAATGTCACCATGGCGTTGGTAAGGCTTGGCATTACTGGGCCTAGGAATTTTTAAGTTCCATAATGAGACCACCACCACATATATATATACACGCAGCTCACCATGAATGGAAATGTTGCTATATAGCATTGTAACTGTATGAGTTAAACACAGCAAAGATAACAAAAAAGGTAGAAAACTTCATTATTTTTATTAATATCCTTGAAGAAAAAGAAGCCTTTGGATTCATGAAGAATCAAACACACAGAAACACTGAGACAAAGCAGAGATGAAAACCTAAGTAGAAAGGTAGGAAGATGAAGTTGATGAATCATTCCAGAAAACAATAGAAAAACGCCTTTAAAAATCAGATAAACGACTGCAAAGATACAATGTCTGAACAATTGGTAACCCACAGAGAAAAGCCCATGCAGAAATATTCAGGAGTTAAGAAAAGCCTATTCAAGACAGCGTCCCCACAGTGAAAGATATGAAATTATAAGTTGAATGAACTCAGCAAGTGCCAGCTCGAAGTGAAAACATATGCAATTTGTCATGTCAGTGTAAGATTTCAAACCACCAGAAACAGAATGTTCCAAAAATTCTGCCAGATGACTCTAAAACGGAAGCCGCATGAAGACGGTTGGGAGGCCTGGCCATCTCGGCGTTTCCAGAAGCAAACTGGAAACCCAAAAGCAACAGAGAAATTGTTTCAAACTTCTGAAGGAAAAAAAATATTTAACCTAGAATTCAAATTTATCAATAAGCATGATAGTAGAAAAAATTTGACGGTGGACTTGCTAAATCCCAGAATATTTAAATTCCTTTTGTTTTTTATGTGCCAAGTAAAGTACAGACCCTACAAATGAGGGGGCAATTTAAGGAAGAAATGAGAATGAGGGTCTGTGTGTGAGTCTTCAGCAGTAGGGTTGCACCCCCTTTTTTGAAGGCACCAAGGCCAATGGCAGTAGCCTATGTTGGGTTTTGGGGGATCAGAGGGTCTCTTGGTTTCCCAGGCCTGTCACTGAGGTTTTGTTGGATAGTCTACGGTTCAGGGGAAGAGCACTACGGTTCAGGGGCTTAACCTCATATATTTGTAATTTAAGTAAATAGAAAATAATTCCTTTTGACTTTTTCAAACACCTTCAGTGTAATTTATCCCTCTTCTGTCCCCCTCCCTGTGTTCAGAATCAATTCCCCATGCGTGTGCAAGTGCCTGTAGGTATGAGAAAGCAGTGTGAGGGCTTTTAGGTTGAATAAAAATTCAGAAATGTCAATATCAGGAAGAAGCAGTATAACCACATTATATAGAGGCAGGGAGGCAAATACCAAATGCAACAGCTACAAGGTTTAGGGACCAGGAAGGATGGAATCAAAGATTTTATCAAAAGGGGAGCAGTGTCTTTTACCATTACCATCTCTCTCTCTCTCTCTCTCTCTCTCTCTCTCTCTCTCTCTCTCTCTCTCTCTTTCTCTCTCTCTCTCTCTCACACACACACACACACACACAAACATCGACTGATATATACATATACATATAGAGAGAGAGTGGGGAGGAAGGGAGGGAGAGACAGAGATAGAGAGAGAGATCTTAAATGTGTATGTGAATATGCTTTTAAGGAATATAAATGTATAATTTTAATTTTAAAAGCTGGCTAAAAAAGCATCTCTTTCCTACTCCTGTATTTCTGAAAGAGGCAGCCAAGTCTTCAGTTCATAAGGTGGTGTACCAAAAATGGGGAGGAGAAGAGGCCTATTTTCTTTTTCTTCACATTTTGTTCCACAAATAGGGGGCTTAAAATAATCAATGAATGAACTCCTGCTGGCAGAATCAAGACCTGCATTGATGGATCTCAAAAAGCCATTGTCAGACGAGATTTCAAAGGCTTTTGAGGCGCGCCCCTGGGAATTTAAAGACCTGCATAAAGCAGAACATATTGTTGATCCCTGATCCTGAGCCAGTCTCATTAAGAACTCAAAACGAAAACCATATGAGATGGGTGCTATTATTTTCTCAATTATACAGGTTGAGGAAAAGTGAGAGGGAAAATATTCTTGCCTAAGGGGTCACAGCCTCGACACATGGGGCCAGAGTTTGACGGTGCTGAATCCAACAACCTCATTCCATTTTCAACCACATTAATTTTCTGCACCCCAATTCTTAGGTTCTATAAGCAATTAGCTGTGTTATTTGACAGCTTAGTCATAACAACTAGTCCCACTCGTCTATAGAGCTCCAAGTCAGAAGTCTGGAGATGGGAGTGATTTCCAGACTTTAAGGAGGGATCTTTAGTGATAAAGGAAGAGCAAGTTACAGGTTAAGACACTCCTGATCCTCTTGGTAAAAGAATAAGTTCAGAGCTGATAAATTTCTTACTTTTGTGTTTCTGCTGTGCTTTTTTCTCCAGTAAAGAACAGGCACTGTTGCTGAGAACCAACGAGTTCTGGGAACAACCCTGGGAAGACACAGCCACTTCAAAAATCTGATGCTTATGTAGACAGGAAGCTAAGTGCACTGACTTAGAAACAAGCCTCTCACCCCTTCTCAGCTCTGGGGTGTTCATCAGTAGAAAACTGCACCTGCCAATTAGGCAGCCACATGCCACAGCGCCCCACTGCCTAGGAGTAGGTATGCAACACTCCTTGCAACTCTCAAAGACAGACTTTCTGAAGTTGTGGCATCATTCCACCTCATCACAAAAGGGAGAAGATAGCGACTCTAGAATCTAAACCAGAGTAGCAGGAGTCTACCAACACATAAAAATATCAACCAACGGCTAAAACCAGCTAGAACCCATTAGGCATCTGTCAGGTGAAAGATGACAGTGAAAGATGCTGCCAAAATCTTTTGGCAAGACAGGTAAAGAAAAAATAATCCAATTTTACAAAAGTAGAAACTTAGAACTGGAAATCTTCTTGGCAATCAGTCTTAGAGTAGGGAAACCTAGTTTGTGCTTCCAAAAGGCAATCTTTGGGGCATTAAAAGGAATGTTACAATTATCCAAGGACAATAAAGTGTGGCTTCCCAACTGATGTTGGTACAGATGCTCAGTGTCGAGTCAGGAAAAGCTAAATCCTGCTAGACAGACTTCAATGTGAAAACCATGAGAGTTAAGAGCAAGACACCTCCATGTTGTGTACACATGTGTGTGTGCGTGCATGTGTGTATGTGGTGCATGCATGCGTGTAGCTTCCAGGAGCTCAGGGCAGTTCTTACATAAGAACCACCTGTGATGGTGAGAGGGGAGGGACAACCAGTTTGAAGTCTGCCAAACGAACAGCCATTTCTATGAACGTGGCGTCATCCTTTCTCTCGGTTTGCAGTCAGCAACTACCCTGACAAGGGCAACTTAAGGAAGGATGTGTATCTGGGCTCACAATTCAACGTACAGGTTATCATGATGGGGGATTTAAGGCAGTCGGAGCTTGAAGCAGCTGTCACATACACCCAACAGTCATAGGTAGCAAGTGTGCTTGTATCCAATGCTCAGTTCAATTCCACCATTTGATATGGTCCAGACTCTCTAAGGAAAAGCCCCACCCACAATCAAGACAGGGCTTCCCACACCAGTAGACATAACCAAGGTAGTCCCCTACAGGTATGTCTAGAGGCCCATCTCCCAGATGATTCTAGATCTTGTCCAGTGGATAGATAACACATTATAACCATCACACATAGTGTGCCCCCAGGAGAAGCTGTCAATAGGAACCTGATCCTCAGATGACTTTGCAGGGCCAAACAAATTGATTGAAGGAAAATATTCAATTCTAGCCTGCCCTGGCCATCTCTACTCACCTAAGATGGTGGGACAAAGGCTATGAAACACTTAAAAACTCCAGAAGCATGGGCTGACTGAAATACTGTGACTAAATCACTGGCTATAGTAGAATATTTTCTCTCATTCTCTACATTATCCAATGCATTATGGAAGGCTTATTTATCAAAGTTCCTACACACAGTAGTATATCTTGTCAAGGACAAGGTGTACTAAAAGACAAGAGGCACAACAAA